AAAATCGTCTAGCAGTATTACCGTCATTGGTATTACCACTTCCTTGTCGTGGTTTGTCGATGATCAATCCTAGCTCCTCCCGAAAAAGTTTTTGTACTAGGGTTTTCTTTTCTTGCTTTTGTCTTTTCTTTTCTTCACTTGTGGCTGACCATGTCCGAAAAGAAAGATTATATGAGATATGTAATACCATACAACGAATCCAGGCATGCAATGTGGAAAGTCCGTATTGATATGCATTTTCATTTTCTGGCCTATTAGTGACTTTAGTCAGATCATTCATTTTCCGTGGAGTAGCTACACAGATTGTACACGTGGATCCAGATGGTGTATCTGTTAATACTTGAGCTACTTTGCCATCTATCATAGTCAGAAAGAGTTCGTGCTTCACATTCACTCCTTCACCTTCTTTATTAATTAATGATGGCCGCAAGGAAATTATTTGGTTCTTTATTTCATCAGCAACAGCTTTAGTTTTTTCAGGAGTTTCTTTACAAAATTCTATCGATATGGGCCGACAAAAACGGACTGACGAAGGCACTGGATTTTGCCAGACAATGTTGCCAGTAAGCTCATTGACTAATTTAATAGGCACTAACGACGTAATAAACAAATTTGCATCAGAAACAAGTTCAGACTCCTCTGGAAATGTTTGTACTGACTTGGACCAGATGAACCATCACATCCCCATTTACTGTATAAAACTAAATGACACAATCCATTCTTATACACCGAATCTATGGCCAAAATCCTAGCTAGTGTGGTCCAATAAATCTTGAAGGTTTAGTACTTTTGCATGTGTATTTGTAATTTCTATTGCTGTAGATGGTGGATAACATGTCTGTTTGATTTCTTGTATTTTATAAAATGGTGGGAATAGAACACAGTCTCGTTCGTTTGTTAAATTCCTTAAGTATATATATTGTGCTTTCGTTAAATCTAAGTCAATGAAAACACTCAATGCTTCTTGATCCATTAGCATTTTGCTCTCGCTTGCGTTTTCTATGAGATTCAAATATAGAGACTTTGTATCATCACGGTCAGCAAGCCTTAGTTTTTCCACGAGTTTTGCTTCTATTTCTTCTCCTATTGAACGTAAGCCCCGAACATAGGCATTGCAAATGTGTTCAAAGCCATTTTCACTAAATAGCGCGGTATTTTTTCGTTTTTTGGTTGATTCTGTCTTCCGCGTTTCCCAGAAGAAGTAGATGGCGTGATGTCAGGTGTTACTCCTTCAATGCTCGGTAAGGTTACCAAATATTCAGAATGCAACCAATTTTCGTTCTTTTTTAGAAACGAAGCCTTTTTCCTGGACGCTTCTGCCCATCGTTTATTAAAGGAAGGAATGAGATTCCTTTGAACATCACTGATAATAAAACACATGTTGTCTTCAGAAACATGATAGTTTTCTTTTAAAACTGTTGATAGGGTTTCAAGTTTTTTTCCTCCTTCAATTCACGCTTGGAACACTTGAAAGAATTTGACATTTTGAAATTCAGTGATGATACGTAACAATCAAACGTCTGTTTAGTTTTATTATCAATTTGTAATAGCTTTATTAAATTAATTCACTCTTCTTATATAATTTCATAAATGAGGGTAGTGTGCATTTTGTTGATTAAAGTAGTACCACAAAATAAGTGCAAAATGTAGACAAAACGCCCTGTTATCAATAAATACCTATAATTTATTGAAATATACCGCAAACTAATCAATTCAATAGTACAACATAAGAAACCACAATGGATAGCGGTTTTCCGTTTCTTGAATTATATATAGTTTTCGCGATAACTTCTAAAGCCGCACGTATCCGCAGCTGATTTTTATAAATGTTATTTATGAATATCTGAGCTATAAAACAACACCAAATGTAAAGCACCGGGAGACATCGGTTACTGTCAAAAGTCTCGGTGAATTTCAAATACGTATCTTTTTTTTCCCTCACTTTTTGTATTTTTTTTATAGAAAAATAATCAAACAATCCACAATATTATAATTGCTTTGAAATCTTTATACTATGGGCTTTTTAGAAATGCATAACACTTTATATATATTCGCACAAGTTTTTGAAAGAAATGAAATTTAAAGTATTGAAGCGAACAGACCTGAAATAGACATACTTACGAACTTAGAATAATAACGCATAGAAGTAAGTCAATGGCATAGAATGATAGTTTCATATCAAACGAACTGTCACAAGTGAGGCAAAAATCAAATTCATGTAGGCGTAAGCAACTTGTATTTACGCTCGTCACACGCACACAAATATACAAATAATGATGCCATGGAATAACATTTCCCTCAAAAGTGGGGAAATTGTATCTTGCTTAACTCATCATTAAGTTAAAGGTGCCTACAGATTTGCTCGATTTTGTCGATCGACAATCTCGATCAGGTGCCTACAGATATGCTCGATTTTGTCGATCGTTACTGTCGATCAGGTGCCTACAGATATGCTCGATTTTGTCGATCGTTACTGTTGATCGACAACATCAAGTGACAGGAATTTTCAAAAATTTATTTTTGGTAATCCTTATGGAAATGGCATTTATATCTGAATACACGAAGGCGGACACGACTTTTCTCATTTCTAAATCCAAGATGGCGGACACGCAAAATGGGAATCGTTTTCGAGGTATTCGAGGTGCTCATCAAGAATATGGCATTTGTTTCTAAATCCAACACGCGGACACGACTTTTGAAATAAATGCAATATGGGTATCATTTTCGAGGTATTTGGGGGTGCTCATTAGGAATATAGCACCTATTTCTAAATTCAAGATGGCGGACATTACTTTTCAAATAATAGCAAGTTGGGTGTCGTTTTCGAGGTATTTGGGGGTGTTCATTAAGAATATGGCACTAATTTCTAAATCCAAGATGGCGGGCACGATTTTTCGAATAATAGCAAGTTGGGTGTCGTTTTCAAGGTATTTGGGGCTGCTCATTCCGAATGTAGCACATATTTCTAAATCCAAGATGGCGAAGAATTAGAAGAAGAAGAATTAGAAGTCTTGCCCGCTATCTTGTCTTCAGATATACATGCCATTTCCTTATGGTTTACCAAAAATACATTTTTGAAAAACCTACATGCGAGTTTAAGTGCAACTATCGACTTTGAATATACATATAAATAGCCTGATATTATCTGTGGGTATGTTTACATGAAAAGTACACGATAACAATAAAGAACCTGAACCTGAAAGTTATTTATACACGATTTTGGAGAACTGACGATGACTTTTTAGTCAGTGTTAGTTCCCTGAAATAATTTTAGTTACGAACTTTTGAGTCTGGCCAAGACAATTTTTTAAAATGAGTGTATGATGAACAAGAATAATGATTTTTCACATGAAACTAATGAAGGCAAATACTAAATATATTTCGTAAAAATAGCTAACGTAAATTCCCGACAATGTTGTTGCGGCGGTGTACATTTGTAGAAATTTTGCAACTGTCGCGATATTGCCTATTCTCAAAAAATTACGTAATATAATTATTTTGAAACAGAATAGCAAAATGGGGAGAAAAAACCCGTTACTTTGCAACATTTTCGTATCTTGTTGCAACGAAATTAATTTTCTGTTTTAGTGAATATTTACATAAAAATACAAGTTGACACGCGTTATTTCCTTGTGGAATGTGATGTTAGTGTCTATTTTATGTTTGTCTGATCTATTTTTAAACCCAATTACCGCACATTTCGTCATTTTTAGCAAAAATCTTTGAGCTGTTCGCGGTACAATTTGACCTTGAGCACTGACTGCCCGCTCGCTCATGTAGGCCTATACGGCGTCCTACAATTTGCCTCACTTAGCGTGTGCGGGCTAGGTTTCTATGCGTTATTATTCTAAGCTTACGAATTGCAATTTCTCACATTAAAAAATATGTATTCCAAATGCAATTCACGCAAAATTACTACATTATATTAAAGTACTACTCTAATACAATTTAAAAAAAAATTAAAGTGCGTCAATAACGACTTAAGGAAAAACGATTTTTGATATGCCGTTGTTCTATCATTGTCCATAGTGCGGCGGCGCGGCGCAAATAATCATTTATTCCATAGGTAAACTAAATTTGCACTTGAAAACGTCATTTTTTAAGCTACTGCTAGTTCACTGTGCCGACTTCCCAGAGAAAAACGAGCAATAAACTCTAAGGGTTGCTCTTTTCAAATAAACTTAAATGTTATAGACTTTGAATCATATTTGTGTGGAATCTAGAGTCATATCGTCTTTCCATACATCTTTATCTAACACTTGACACATACTTTTAATGTAAGTTTTAAACTTAAAAATAATAATCTTCGACACAGAAGAATACCGAGACGATGTTATTTAGATAATGTAAGGGAAACTGTTAATGTCGTGTCGTACCAGTAAGTGCGTTTACGCGCTGCGTCCGATTCGTATTTATTTACAATTCGTTATTTCAACAATAAAAAAATCAGTTGCGTACATCGAGCATAGAACCAAGTTATGTATCAACCCCATAATTGCACAAATTACGCGACCTTACAGTGTTTATTCAAAGTGCAAACATGGACCTAACCTCTGAACTCAACGTGTTATTCAATTAAAAGAAACGTAAAACAAGAAATAGATTCCTAGCGAGTGTATGCGACTCACATAAAGAAATTGATTTAAACTTAACGATTTTTACACGTTGTCATTGACTGTCATAATCCCTTGATTAACTTGACTAACATGGTCATGGTAACATGGTGAACGTCGAGATAAAATATGTGTGTACACGATTAAGTCCCGATTTTAAAAACAAATTATCACATAAAGACGTTTGGAGATTAGGAATTGGTTATTAAGCTTGTAATTTTTTTTAATTGGGACCAAATATGACACAATTCATCTTTCCCTTGTTGAACAAATAGTGTTATGTCCATAAGGGAAATCGAGGACTAGCAGCATTTTAAAATGTTTTTTTTAAAGAAAAATTTACATTTTTCTAATAACAATTCCAAAATGTTTATAATAGAAACTCACCAATAGGTGCACTGTCCACCACTCCAAAGGCCGGGCAGTAGTACACCGGTTTCATGAACTCCACGGTCAAATTGTCCCAAGTACCAGGAAACACAGGCTTCATGTCCCGGTGCAACAATACATGTACCAACGTTGTTTTCTCATCAAGATACCGCTTCTTTATCTTCTTTTTAAGTATCACATCTTTATCGTCCCAATCTAAATGAGGATGTTTCTCCTTGAACAACTTCAAAACGTCTTCTGTGGTGTTCTGATTGTTGAGAGCATCGTCAAATTCGTTTTCAACGTATTTAGTCCTATAGTAAATATATTGTTTAAGTTTGACCAGCCATTCATTGTTGAATTTTTCCATGTTCAAATCGAATTTGTGCTCTCTTGAGAGACGCAGCTTTACAGCATAATAATTGACTAAAGAATCTTTTATTCGAATGAAGAGAGCTTTATTAGACTCTGATACCGTATGGTTTCTGGAATCAATATGGACACACCAGTAATAACCATCATCTATGGGATGTAGAACGTATAAATCGGAATGTCGATCATATCTCACTTTGACTTTATAAGGGTAGTACAACACAGAGTCTGTAAAACAGCGAATGTTGCTTTCTTTTACTGTTTCGTTTGTTTTGAGCACTAGTTTGCCTTCCCTGGAAAATAAAACCAATTCACATCACAATGCAAGTTTAAGATGACAAATTATTGTACTGTTTAAACGATTATTTGTTAACTTGCAAACTTATTAATAAGTACTACAAAATGAATAGGCTTGCAAAAAAATTTTCCGAGATTTTCTTCTACATAAAAACTTATAATTTTTTTTCTGTTCTAATAATGATCTGGTTCAGTTGTGTACTTACGAGGTGACAGAGACATCCATGCTGATAGGCCTGAGCTGGATAGGTCTTTCGCAAATGACGTTGTAGAACACGTAAGAACTGTTGACCATAAACCAGAAATCGTCGCGCAGAGCCCCCAGAGACATATTCGAGGTGAGGTTGATTTCGAAATGCTTGAAGTCTGATGGTGGGATCTGAAAGTTTATAATAAATTGTAGAAGTCTATAAATTAGAGCGTTGTATGCATAGCATAGTCAGCGAAAAGAGGGAAAAGGTTCATAATACAATAAAATCGTAATAAATTTCTCCAAACTAACCTAAACTTTTTGCACAAAAAATAATTTATAAAGATTTATTACACATGCATTGACATCAAGTTGGAAACACATAATACGAGTACTTTTTTGTTTTTAAAGGTCTAGAAATACTGCGGCAGGCGGTTCTGATCTGCAATCTTTTATAACATTTATATTTTAATAGTGGGAAAAATGTTTTATGCAGTCGCAATTTCACGAAATTCGGACTAAAAGTGTTAATGCAAGTCAAATATTTAGGTAACTCACCGTAATATTTTCATTATCATACTCGATCGTTGTATTGTCGGCACTCAACATAATTCCAAGGGGAAAACTGTCACCTGTTTCAGAATGAAACAAAGGACTGCTCGCGTATCTCCATCCTGTACTTAAGAGATATCCTTTTCTCTCAGCACACGACTTCTGCGCCTGTCGCCAGGTTGCTCTGACATTTCTTCCCTTAGTAGGAGTTACTGACGTCAGACAAGTAGGTATCGGACTCCAGAATCTCCAGTAACTAAAATCTTTCAAGTCCTCACAACCATCTCTGTCCATATCATCCTCGTCATCTTCGAGAGGTTTTAAAAAACAATACCTGTAATGTTTCTCATTACACCTTGCAGCTGTAAAATTAGTCACTGGATGTATAAAAACACACAGTTCCTCATCTATACCTAAATTTGGGTCGTAATCCACGCTATAATTTGGTGTTAACATATCTCCCATAAGCTCGTTATACGACCAGTCAATGAACGGTCCTCCAGGGTAAAGAGATTTGTAATCAGTCCATAATGTAATAGTTGATTTTGTAATGTTTAGACTATGATACAATCTGGAGGTAAATAAGTTTCCAGCGCAGTCAGTGAATTTGTCGTCAAAGGTTTCAGGTCCTTTTCTTCTATAGCAAATGGGGTCAGAGTTTTGGGACTTATAGTAGGCGAGGTTGAAACCGATGGGGCAGACATGTCTTGACCTGGCGGTGGACTTTTGTAAGTATAGGAGCAGTAACAACGCTGGTATAATGCTCCTATGTAGTAACATCTGAAACAACAAAAGTACAGAATTATTATCTAACGATATTTGAATGACATTTGGACGCTATTTATTATTCTTTTATATTCCATAAGCTACATTTTAGTGATTTTTAACCGACTTTCAAAAAAGAGGAGGTTCTCTATTCGACTATATGTTCTTTTTTTTTCTTTTTTTTTGTATGTATGTTACGCGATAACTCCGGTATTTGTGAACGGATTTTCATGATTCTTTTTTTGTTGGAAAGGGGGTACTTCCATAGTGGTCCCATTTCATTTTGAAGAAAATCATCTACCTTTAAGGGTGGCTGTTCACGCATGAAGATTCATTTTTATTATAAATAGCGCCTAACTTTAATTTAGGAGCAATTATTTTAATGGTTGATTTTGATATTTCTCCAATTCACGGCGTTTTTCTCTCAATGTACTTTGAGTAGTGAGTACGATTATTATTATCTCCAGTGTCAAGTCCTGTATAGTGGCGAACTAGGAGATATTTCAATAAAACTTACAAAAATAGACGTAATTCCACGTACTTTTGAGGTCGGTTTTTTTAGTACTCTGTACTAAGATTATTACGTTTACTTTTGAAGTTCGGCCACCATGACATTCAACTTTTTTTGTGAAATTACTCGATTAGTTTGTTATAATTTATATTTATTTATAACTGTAGTAAGAGGGAGTGTACAGGGTGTAAGAGATTTGCTCGGCTAGCTGGTGCCCCCTTACGACGTTCAGGAATCAAACGACGAAATTTGGTGAAGAAGACTTCGCTTCGTAAGCAACACGCTACTCATAACAGCTGTAGTGCCACTCAGGGCTGGCAAATCGCAAAGATCTGAATGGTATTGAAAATGTGCTCGTTACCCAGAAACACAACGTTGACAGGTGCCTGTAGCTTCACCAGCATCCTCAACATTCAAAATCGGAACGCAGTAACACTCACATTACTGCTTGGCGGCAGAAATAGAAACGGTAGCAGTACTTCACTAAGCAAACTATTTCGCAAACTATTTTCAAAAATGCAAATAATATATAATCCGATGCCGATATGCAATGAGAGTAGGTTCCTTGGCTTCACTCTGGACTCGAACCTTAACTGGAAGTGCCATGATGACAGACTGTGTGATAGACTGAGTGGTGCAGTCTTTGCGTTGCGTAAACTGAAATTGCTCATTTCTGATTCTGCATTAAGACAGGTCTATTTTGCACATTTCCACTCGCTGATGTCGTACGGTTCACTCATATGGGGTAACTCCACGGATGCCAATAGAGTCTAATGCTAATGCAAAAACGTGTCGTACGTATTGGTTGGGGTAAAACACGGACATTCCTGCAGAAATCTCTTTGTAGCGCAACGCATAATGACGCACTACTCACTCTACTTATACGAAATTATAATGTATGTTAGAAATAATTTGTCTTCATTTGGTACTGTCAATGTTTCTGGCATCCCACTTCGCCGTACCGGTCATTTGAGAACAGTCCCTCGACCCATGGCACTTGCAGAGAAAAACCCGCGTGTCATCGGACCTAATTACTATGAGCGTTTACCCGCTACTCTCAGACTTGAACCGTCTGACGAAATATTTTGGCGCCGGCTGAAAGACCTTTTCTTGAAAAATCCTATATACTCCGTAAAAGAATTTATGGACTTTAAATTGTAACGAATTCAGTATTTTCTATTTTTATTCTAATTTTTACCACATTAACATACTCTTGTACAATTGTTATCAACTTATGACGATCCTTGATGGAGAATGATATTTGATATATAATTTAATGACAACAATATTATATAATGAATTGTTAATTTTGTAATTATTGTGTGCGTTTCTTATAATTTTCCTTTTTGTCTGACGATCTCAATATAATTTCTTATACTTTGACATGTAGTGCAATTTATACTGTAATGTTGTATTTGAGAAATAAATGAATCTGAATCTGAATCTATAGAAAATATTTTAAAACGTACATTTCCAATTTCCTGGTCACTTATACTGAAATTTCCAAATTTAAGTTATTTATAAACGTATATTCCAATCGTGCTTTGACGTTGTAACCGACACAATAGATTAACTATCTCTCAGGTACAAATTTTCTGTGTCTGCATCTATGAATCATCAATGAAACATGAAATGACGTATTCATTACCTATCAATGGGAGGCAATGACTGATCGAAATTAGGGATCGTTGTCAGCTAATGGTCGCTTTATTCACAAACCACTTTATTGTATGTTTTTTATAAACTAACGTGATACAAATATACGTAAGCAAATGGCATGATTACAACGAGAATAGAGGTAAGGCTAGACGTGCATAATTTCGTGAGTTGGAAGTCGCGTTATTTGAATCTCGTAGTTTACGATTAAGTCAGAAATTCGATTGGGGCGCCAATCAAATACATAAGTATTGTATATAGTTGTTTTTAAGCGTTTGTACGGAATGTTTGTGTCATATAGTGCAATGGATCCATTAAATATATTGAGGATTAGAAGATAACTTAGAATAGTTTCATACATTTCTCACGAATGGCGTTACGGCAAAAAAAAAGATCTGCAACAAGCAAATAGAAAAATTCGTAAAGTCCGCTAGTTCGTTTCATGGTTTAGTTGACATAGGGCAATTGCCTATATTTATATTATGGTTAGAACCTGCAAAGCCTAACAATGAGCATCACCTTGGTTTTGGTCATGTTCATCCTTAGGCCCACCTTCATTGGTGCTTGGTGCAGGGGGCCTACCACATCCTCTTAAAACAATATTACGTTAACCTTACATTGACTTTTCGTACCATAATCCGCTTAAAGTAAGCTTACTGTAATGTTAAAACTATGATGTTTTATTGGCAGCTGTGTGACTATTCATTCACTCAGTTCGTACTATGACGCGACTTTAACATTAAAGTAACATTGCTCTTATGTCAAATTTAGCAGTTTTAAAATGGTTACATGGATATAATGGAAACAATATTCTTTTAAGTTTTATTGTCTTAATATTGATTTGTAATGATTAACAGTTAAGTTCAACTTATTTATTTACATATATCTCTTCAATATTTTGTTTATTTTTTATTTAATAGTACATAGGAAATAATTTCTCGTTAAATTTAAATACGCGATGTTTATTTCGTAAAATTATTACAACGCCATCTATATGCTCCTTGGGGAAACTAACAGATGACACTAGCTAGACCATAGTTCCGAATCCACAACGTGACTATCAAGACTCGGCTTGTTTTATTTATTTTTCTTCATGAAAATGCAAAATAATCATTGAAAACAATGTAATTTTAATAGATTTTATTATTACATACATCTCTTTTTTTAACATTCAAAATTCTCTGAATGTAAATAACATTAAGTAATTAAACTTTAAACTACGATAATTCGATTCGGAACATCAAAAAAGAAAGAGATGGCATTATCTAGTTCACATAGCGTTATCTCATTCCTATTTTTAGTAAGGAATAGACAATATTGGGAAATGGGATCATGCGTTCTTTCTATCACTTTTGCAAGAATACATTACTTGGTTAACAGGTTCGTCATGGTACGAATATGAGAAATATTATAATAAGCTTACATTGAAATAAGATTGTTTTTGGAAAGGTTATGGTAGGCCCCCAGATCTTGGAGCATGCTTTGCAACTGTTCGATACTTTCAGCTGCTTAATCTGTATTGTCGATATTATTGTCTGTTGTAGATAAATATTATGATTAATTAGCTTTTAAATCATTGACTTACAATTATATGGACGTCGGGTCCGCGCTAAAAAGTGTCCGAACTTATTGGGCGTCAAAATCGTATACAGAGCGTCATTCACGCTTTAGTCTTCGTT